TAAACATTTCCATGGTAAACTCATGAAAACTTCATTTGCTAGCTTCAGAAACGCCGCTCGACTTGTCTTTCACGCGGAATGTAGCGCGCTATTACCTCCGCCTTGGAGACAAGAGCACTGCGCCCGACGAGGTCCTCTGACAGTTCCTGGAGATGTTGTGAGAGACGGGGCAGGACATTTTCCCGTGAAGCTTCAAATGCAGCTGAAGTGTCGCGTCTGCCACACCAGATCAAAGTGGAGTTGTAAGAAATGTGCGAACACCCTTTTCCTAGAGCGGGACTGTTTCAAGAAATTTCATACTTCGACTGCCTAAAAACCGTCCCCACATGCGCCTAGTGTACTATATAAAGTGCGCCCGAATATTTTCTGAAATAATAAATATTTCGTAACGAATCTTTTAATTTGTGCTAAATGTATGTAGATAACTTCGAATTTAGGAAATAAACAAAATCTGCAGGACAGTTTCTTCTTGGGCGCTAATGGGTTAAGGGGTTTCTAGCAGACGATAGTGTCTCATTCAGAAAGGCTCAAAATATCCTGCGCGTGGACACTCTCGAACGTGACCTGGCGTATTGGTGCTCCAATTTCTAAAACCCCTCTACCCTGGGAAAAGTGTCGCCATTCATTGTTGTAAAAATGCTCGAGGCACGTGCTGCGCGCCACCTCTGGGAGATCCATAGTGTCTGAAATCTAGCTGAGTGCTGCGCTGTGCCACCATGATCTTCCCAAGTGCTGCACATTGCACACGCCTCGTGCATCCACGCACCCTGCACTACTTTTGAAACATCAAGGGGTTTTGCCAATTTCACTTTTCTGGCGGACACAAGCGTCGAAAGTGCACGAAACTCTGGCTCGGAACATCGGGCTCATGTTGAACGTTCAAGAAAGGGTCGATGCCGTCCCCGCAGGCCCCGCTGCTGTGCAAGTTCAGTCAAAGCTTCAGTCCGTCTTGAGCACAAATAGGGGGTTGTCTGTACTCAAAGAAGTAGCGAAGCTTGTCACCGGGGAACACTCCAGGGTAAAATAGGGTGTGAAATCATTGGGTATTCCTAAGTACAAGTGCGCTCCACTCACATCAGTTGACGTAAAACGATCTTTTTCAGCGTACAAAGAGGTTCTAAGCTACAAGGGGCAAAAGTGTGAACCCAAGAATCTTGAGGTTGTGCTTGTTTGCTGTTTTTTTCATAAGTTTTCCCGATTGTTTCTAGTTGTACCATGTTCAGGCATGGTATAGCTTAGTACCGGTGTGGGCTTGAGTCGCCATTTTTTCGATTGTTAGACAAATTAAATTGTAATTCCTATTGTACTTCTTTATTTCGTATTTCAGTGAATGGGGGGACACAGGACCTAAATGCTGTCAAAAGCACTCTGTGAATAAAAACTGAAATAAAAAAAAACTCTACTAATCACTGCCAGGGGTGCCAATTCCCCATGAGATAAAGTCGATGATTGTCCGCTGTCCTCTGCTCGTATAGACGGTTTGCAGCAGCTGTGCATGGGTGCCGCATTAACCGACTTTCACTGTTTGTTTCCACTTATTCTGTTTACCTCAATTTAATATTACCATAACAGGCCTGGTTATTTCCATCCTAGTTTCGATTGCGCCCTCCCCAGCATTGGCCTTTGTAGAGGCTCGTCAAGACCCATTTCGGGCTCGGTACCACGTAAGAAACGAGAAGGTCAGCAATGGCGGCTGTAATGTGGCGCGTGTCTAAAGTGCCTATATCACGGTGTAAGATAATACTCTTCAGGTGAGGACAGTGCGTTCCTCGCGACTTGCCGATAAAGTTCGCTTTTCACTCTTTCTCTCTTTCTCTCTCTCACTATGGTTTCAGGAGGCGCCGGCAGGCGACTCGTCGACCCGTGGGCACGGTGTAAGACGCAGCAGGCAGGCAGCAGTTCGATGATGCGTCATGGTGATATTGGTGCGGATTAGAACGACCCGCTCGAATCTTCGAAGATTTGAAAAGGACAAAATGGCGATTGCCCTAGCAACGTAGACCGATCAGCCAATCGCCTTGCGACGTTTTCGTTAGAATGGCAATCTGGGCTAGTTGACGTTTTCGTCGTATGTACGTTAGTATTTGTTTGTTTTCGGCTAGTATGCGGGGAAGGCAATGGCGCCCCTTTGCCAGGATCCAGTCAGAGTCGTTTGAACTGAGAGAGTTTGGCCTACTTAAGGAGATTTTGACAGTCTGGCAACCACAGAAGCGTAGTCTCACAACCGGGGGATGAATATTTCCGTCCGCCATTACGAGGCTCTGACTCGTGGCAACTCATTCCGATTTCTTAGGAACAAAAAGACAAAAAAGCAACGCCATTTTGTGTCATCGCGAAATCCAGTGGTTCTAGCGAACAACAAGCTCCGCCCATTTGAGAAACTCTTTCAGTATAAACGGCTTTCGAATAAGTGACTTTAGGAACGCTCTCAGCCCCTACGTAATCACGTACAGGGAGCAAACGAACGGAGATGAAGTATCGTCCGCCCGCTGAGGCAGACTATACACCTCTCACCCTTAAGCAGAGACTATAGACGCTTTCAGGCAGTTGTGCATACGCCCCGCCATAACCGACCTCCAGTTTTTGTTCCGTCTGATTCCGTTCGCTTCACTTCATCATTACCACAGTAGGTAAGGCCATTGCCATTTTATTATCGACCGTGTCCTTCTCCCCAGCATAGGCCTTTGTGAAACTCGTCAACGCCCGCTTCAGTGGCTTGGCATCTAGGTAAGACAAGAGAGGGTCGGCTATGGCGGCTCAATTTGGCACGTGCTGAAAGCGACTACAGAAGCTCCGCCTTCAGCGTGAGCTCGCTGGTTTCCGCAGTGCTTCGGCAGCGCGCGCCTGATAGTTTATACTTGTGTTAGCAAGGGCAGAAAGGTCGCGCTGAAGGCTGTGCTTCTAGTCTCAGTTTAAGGTTGAACGGAATATAAATTCTGGTTGTATAAACATACACACATCATATTTTTTTTTTTGGCTAACGCCCCTGTTTAGTGGGGCTTGTCAACTGATAGATATAAACCCCTAGTTACACACGCGCTCTCAAGTGTTATCTAGCCAACGATCGCTGGCGTCCTTCAAGTGTAATTGAGCTCAACTAAGTTGTCCAATGTTACACGGTACATAGGCCTAACATACCCAGTTGAGATGTGCGCCATGGGACACAGTTGAAGCTGTAACCAAACTAAAACTGATGTCACATTACCTTTTTCTTTAAAGTGGTGCAAATGAATTATATGCAAACTTTTCATTAATTATGAAGATTAAAAAATTAACTTTTTGTTTTTTTTTAGAGCATAAAACGAGAATCAAAACGTTTTACATGAATTCTAGCAAGACGGACATACCGAAGGCCTGATCGGCACCGGCATCAAAATGGCCGCCCTCGCCGAGCTTTGGCTTCTGCGGCGAGCCGAGATCGTTCTAGCGGCAGCTCTGGCCCCGAAACGTACCTCTTCTGATAATATTTGCTGATATATGGTACTTTCGAGCTATTTCCCCAATATTTAGCAATAGTAAGTGTTTCGCTGGTGCTCACCATGGGTGGCTGAATGGACCCTTTGCTCTGGGTAGGGAGGCACGAGCGCGTCCTCAGGACGCTACAATGTTATGCTGGCTGCACTATCTACGCGATAAACCCGTAGCTCTCAGGTTTTGAGCAGCGCTCCAGACGAGCCAAATAGAATATTTGGCTCGCGGCCTCAGCGTCCCATCAAACATTGCTTTCTGCTTCATTATTTTATTGATTTTTTTAGAGCCTCCGTGAGCGCATATTTTTCAGTTTACGCGATAGCGAAGCCGAAGTTACTTGCAAAAGCATGTTCCCCCGAACGATGCTCGCACTGCGCGAGCGCGCGTGCTTGGCAAGGACACTGAAAGCTCGGAATTCACTCTTGTAGCCTCTGCAACGCTGGCACTTATATTGAAACAAAGAATAATAAAACTGTAGTCGGGAAGCGTAATGACACAAACGCGAGCCAAATATTCTATTTTGTTCGCTTGGAGCGCTGCTCAAAACTTGAGAACTACGAGTAGAGTGTACTCGAAAGCGGGCCTATTGCAAGCATGGCGCCACGACAGGTGCCCCACGTGTGCAAGCACGTCAAGCCTGCGTTTTGGCAGGCTTGTATTTGCAGGGACTCTTCCGCTCGAGCAGAGACATGGCGGCGACCTGTCGCCATTTTTGCAATCTTCCATAGAGAACTTTAGTTTTTCTTCGCGCTTGACAACCTCGCTGCAGCCCTGCACGAGACGGCACGAGCCATCTCGTACACTGCCGCCTGCAAACTGTTGACTAAAGTTATGGATTTGCCACGCGTGCGCGATACGCTTCGAGCGATCGGTCCGTTAAACTTTTGTTAAATAACTCAAGCAGCAAGCCTGCTGGAAATATAAATACACATTCTACAAATAGGGTGCACACGCTTGCCTTATCGCCAAAAGTTAAGCGTTGACGAACACGCGTGAAGTGTGTTACTTATTTCAAATTTTCGCTTTCGAGAACTTGTCCCTGCACACGTCATCGTGTGCAGAAATTCTAATAGCCTAAAACTCTGCGCAATTATTCGTGACGCTTCGGTGATTTCGAAAAAAGCTGAAGATACAGGCGTTCTGGGCAGCGAGTCATATTGTCTATTCTACAAAATCATATTGCTTTTTACTCAAAAGGCAAACGTTATTCATTTGAGGAGAGCACGGTTATTGGACGCTGTTCTTTGCGCATTTATCATCAAAAAGAGTGTTCCAAAATGGAATTAAATTATCGCATTCGATTTTTATGTCACGTAGTTTAATATCCTCTTCTTCACAAAGTTAACCGAGTACTCCATTTCTCAACAAAAAAAAAATGCATCACTTCAGTCTTCTTGTACAGTTTATATTTAAATGATCGGGTCAAGCGGAAGCAATAGTAGATGAGGACGCAGTTAAAAAGTAAAAACAATTGACGACAAAAAGCTTAGGGGTCTTTTCTTCGCCCGGTAAAAAGCGCGCCGCAGCCTTCATGAGCCTTCAATAAGAGCGGACAGAAAGCGTATAAGTTCGCAGTCCCGCGTCGGTCCCTCCATTGAGTAGCCAGAATCTGTTTGTTGGACCACGGGAGATCCAGCAAGTGTCGAGTATTTCGGCCACTCCTTTCCGTTCTCTAGAGCAGGCACCTTCCTGAAAGCATAAGTTCATTCAAATTATAAGTAAAGCTCTACAAAGATTTTTTTATCTCCGTACGTGGTGCTTCCGAGCACTATTTCGGTCCGGAAAAAAAGTATAAATAAACCAATACACTGAGTGAAACTACTTTTTACAAGTGTTTCTTTAGGTAGTGCATTTACCATGCTTGACATTTTATGAGTGTATGTCTTAGGGTACAAATATGAGCTTAAAATATCCTTTTTTTGTTTTTTTTTTTTTTTTTCAAATAAAAAAAAGAAAACACCGAAAAAAAATTTTTTTTAGGCTGCTACTTAATGATGACACAACAAAAAAACAAAAGCGTAAATGCATTTTTGAAATGAACCACCGAAAGAAGATCAAGCCTGTTGACAGCTATTCTTGTAGAGAACTTTTGCACACGCTATAAATCACGATCACTATTGCACTGTATTATGAGAACCTTATATAAGAATTTTGATGTTCTTTGTTCTCTTTTGGCTCAGCATCACTATCTGTGCGATGTAATATCGATAACTAAAACATGACTAATGCCTGACGGATGTTTCAGTATCCCTGGTTACACTTTTTTTGATCCCCCCCTCCCCCCTCGTAGTGCCAAAACAAGAGGAGGTGACGTTGGTCTCTACATTCGGAACTCGATTACATATAAAAACTGTGTTACGGTTCGCTAAAGCAATAAACTATAAATCTATAAGTTCACGTTATGGAACCAGGGTGACATTGTTGCAGGTGTAGTGTTTCGCCCACCACAGACTTATATGAATGAGTTTCTAAATGATCTGGAAACAGTTTTTACTTTGTTGACTGATAATTCTAAAAGGGAGGTTATAAAGGGAGATAGCAATATAGATATCTTAGGCAGTAATCATAGCAAATACTCAAACCTGTTACATTATTTTGGCTTTCATAACTACTCTGACACCCCTAAACAACGAATACTACATATACGGGCTTAGGTCGCGTTTTGCGCAATTTTTAATCAATGCATATCCTAACCGGAGTATACGAAACTGCCCTTACCGACAACTTCCCGTTGCGTTTTTTTATATTATGACGACCAGAATACTCCCGTTCATGTCATAAACTCGGAATCAAATACGAGGGTTAATTTTAAATAATTCTCACGTCTGCTCTCTTAAGTAGACTTCTCTGACGTAGATGATACAAATGCTAATAAGTATTGCCATTTTGTCATCAAGACAATAAAAGGACTGATAAGAGAGAGTAGCGTAACAAGGAGAAAAGCTACTTAACAACATGAATCCGTCCCTGGATGACTCCTAGTATACTCGATGTAATAAGGAATCCTGACTATTGGCTTACAAAAATGAAACAAAACAAAGGTAATGAATATTATTTTACTCAATTTAGAATGCATAGAAATAAAGCAGTTGAATTGATGCGCCAGCAAAAACAAGTATCATTATTGCAAGCAAATTCATGCCTGCGCTGATAACTCCAAGAAGGTCTGGTAGATAATAAATTCTATTATCCTGCTGGCTATTTCTCCGTTTTCGATAACATGACGGAGGCATCTCAGGTTACCCGACCGGTTTAATATTCACTTCTGCACAGTCGGCGCCAACCTGCGCCCCCCGATGATCTATTCCTATGGACCGGGTATAATTCCACTGCATGACGCTGCGAGCTGATGAGGACAAACAGACATCGACAAAAGCGTAATATCATGTTCTTTCCCATGTTACTTTTTCTATCATCGCTGAATCAATCATAAACCGGAAAAAAACCTAGTGGCTTGCGTGTTTGACGCTGCTTAATTGGCACATTACCTCGTAGCATTGGCTGCGTTTGGACGTAAGCTGAAGCAAAGCATAGCGTTGTTCGAAACAAAAAGTTCACACGATTAGTGAAAATACCCTGTGACACGGGACACAAAAAAGTGGGCAACAAAACAACCCTCCTAGGTTTTTTGTTTTTTTTCTTAAGCTATTTGTTTGCCTGCGCAAAATGTTTTTAGTTTTTTTCGGAAATGCTTGTTTCTTCGATTTAGTTTAACTTGGTGGAAAAAAAAAAGATCTTAAAACGATAGTGCGTTTTAAATTCTCTCATTGTATGTCTAGTATAGTCTCGGACAGAACAAGAACAGCAGGGAGGAGGTTCAGATGTTCCGCCTCCAGCACAAACATATTGCCTTCGATGACACTTCGGCGTCTCGTAAGCCTCGAGCGTGCACGCGCAGTCAAAGCACGACGAAAGGCATTGTGCTCGTGCTGAGGGCAGGGCGTTTGCAAAAGACGCCTTTGCATTTTCACCTCAGTGGCTATAATGCCCGGGTCGCAACAGAGTGACAATCAAAAACAACCGACAGCGACTACTAACCTCAAGCATCTGCTGCATGGACGCGAAAGTATTTTTGGCAGGCTCGCAAACACTCGCTCTATCACGCTCATGCTGCACGTTTCTGTGGTGCGTCGGAGCCGGTTGTTTCTGTTTGTCATTCTAGTGGGACCCTGGTAAAGTGTGAAAGACGGAAACTAGCACGGAACGAAAAGGTAGCCAAAAACGTATTTCTTTGCATTGAATTTATAAAATAGTGTTAATGCAGTTAATGCGAGGGTGTAGGCGAGCTGGACAGAATAAACGATAAAAAGTGGAGATTTGTCTGTCCTTTGTCGTCTAGTCCCCCTTCTCCGAGGGTTATTATTGTGTATAAAATATTTGCTGGTCTGCTTGTTCTTTCTTTTTAGCTTGTATTTTAAAATTTAGGTACTGACAATGTAATTGTGAAATTATATTGAGCACATTACCCTTCCCGTGCGAAGTCCGCCAGCGTTCGGATCATTCGAAGAGTGGTGTTTCTGTCGTCGTCTGTGGCCAGCCACGGGTAAAGGAAGGAGTAGCCAAAAAGCATAAAGACGTCTTCGCTATGAGCTGCATACTCAGCGCTGAACACGCTGAAGGAAGGCTTGGGCAAAATCTCTTGAAAGTACACGGTTGCCCCCTTTTTAATGAGAAGTTCTCCCATAGAATGCATGGGGCAGCGAAACAAGATATCTCCAAGCAGTTCTTTCCATCCCATGTAGTCATTTTGCGATACGTTGTAAGGTCCACCTAGTGATTTAAGTAAAACTTCCAAGGTGTCGTTGTCAACCTTATCAAGAATCGTCGGAAATGTTTGAGAAATAAGGGCGGGAGTGAACGTGAGGTTCTCTTTGATTACGTCCATAAATGATAGTTCAAAGTACCCCGCTCCATCTGAACGAGTTGTGGAGAGCAGTATTGCCTTGTTGGTGACGTCTAACTTATCTGCTATGTTGTCCAGCTTGTCGGGCAAAATGGCATCGTAGTAACTTGGTGTGAAAAGTCTCTCAGCTTTCAACTCCGCATTTAAAATTTCTGTGCCATTTTTTTCTCGTAGACAATTTAGAGCTTCATCAGTCGTCTCCATGGAACAGCTGGCTACCCGTGAGAATACCTCGAAGTTTTCTTTTGCCGCACCTTTAGAATTATCAGGTAGTACAGTGAACGCGGAGCCACTCATCAGATATGCCTTGGAGTAAAATGAACTTGGTAGCAGTGGACTAATCATTAGTAAGGAAGATATAATTGATCCCGCACTTTGGCCAGCGAGAATTATGTTGTCCCTGTCGCCTCCGAAGTGTTGAATGTGCTTCATCACCCAATCATGCGCCGCAATCATGTCGTGCAGCCCGATGTTGCCAGGTGTGTCCGGCGCGTCCGCGTTAAGAAAACCGAAGACACCTACGCGGTAGTTCGGAGCAACAACGACCAGATTTCCGAACCCCGAAATAAAGCGGCCGTCATAGAAGTCGAAGCTGTTTCCTCCAGTGTTAAATGTTCCACCGTACGCCCAGAAAATGACAGGATGCCGCTGATTTCCGTCCACACAACCCGTTGGTACCCAGACGTTCAGGTGCAAGCAATCTTCAGTTGCGTTTGACGTGTCGACAAAGAAGCCCTTTGGCCCCGTTATGTTTCGCTGAAAGCACGGCGGCCTCTTGTAGGTTGCGTTGAAGATGCCCTCCCAACCTCGAGAATCGGTTGGTGTCTTAAAGCGGTTCGCACCTGCTGTCTCTTCAGCAAAAGGGACACCCAAAAAGGCCACTGTTTGGTAAAAAACGCCGTTGTGTTCGAAGCTCATCGCCGTTCCCAGCACTTCACCCTGGCTTAGTGCAACTTGCAGGCAGCTCTGGGTGCTGTAATCTTGAGTTAAGGCAATCCATACAACGACGGCTAATATTAGTATAAGGAAGGCCAGTAAGACCGCAACAAACACCCACCTGAAACCAGAGAAAAAGGAGTATTTAAAATAATATTTGAAAAAATGGAATGATCAACACTTTGTTAGCAATTGTGCGCTCGTGGGCTTTTGATTGTTCATTGTTTTATATTTTGTGAACGGCAATATTCTGTGCTGTCAAAGCAATCCAAACATTCACACTGCCGAAATAGAACAGAGTCATGGCTTTCCAGTGTGCATTCTCTCTATCTATCTATCTATCTATCTATCTATCTATCTATCTATCTATCTATCTATCTATCTATCTGTCTTTCTGTCTGTCTGTCTAATTTATCTGATATATCTGATATATCTAATCTATCTGATTATGTAATCTATGTGATATATGTAATCTACCTGATGTATGTAATCTAATCTAATCTATGTATCTCATCTATCTATCTACCTTACTATCTTATCTAATCTAATCTTTCTAATCTAATCTGTCTAATCTCATCTATTTAATCTAATTAATCTAACCTAATCTATCTAATATAATCTATCTATCTAATTTGTCTATACTATCTAATTCATCTATCTAATCTAATCTATCTAATCTAACCTATCTAATCAATCTATCTAATCTATCTAATCTATCTATCTATCTAATCTATCTATCTCATTTATCTACCTAATCTATCTACCCAATCTATCAACCTAATCTATCTAATCTATCTGTTTTTCAGTCTCTTTCGCGATTTAAGAATCGACCGCAGAAAACGCAAAAAAAAAAACTATCAGACCTATCTCGCTGCTACGTTTCAAAATAATCCTCGAAAATTTTCGAGCAAAATAAACCCTAGCTATCGTAAACCGATTTATTTAGTGGAGGACAGCGAAATCAATCTTCGCGATGTTCACGTTGTTGAAAAGATTTGCAACGCACTGTCTTCTGTGCTTAGCAATTGGGCAGGAGATCGAACTATAGGGGGCGCTCTGACCCGTTTGTTTTCCCCATGCTCGGTGTTTACTCAACACAAATCCTGTGCGCATGCCGACCGGCCTTATGGGCATGGGCATGTCATCTTCTACAATAGAGCGCGGGGCACAGTTTAATGTAAAAAATACTAACAATCAACGAAGCTACGTTAAGTGCCGGATCTATCCTCAGAGAATGCGAGCTTGACCCACTTCGGCTTTAGTGCTAAGCTGGGATCGTGCATGCTGCATTGTTCGTGCAGGCCGTAGTGGAAACAAAAGAGCCCCTCCTCCCCCTCGCCGGAGAGCACGAACTCCAGCCGAACGCTGACGCCGCGTTCGGTTATGTCGGCCGAGCGCTGCGTCATTGTATTTGTTGTCACCATCCGTGTAGTTGTTAAGTTAACCGCTTGGGGCGTCACAGTCTGTCCTCCTCCCCTAATTGTGCTACCTCATCACGGCCAGATCTTTCAACCTTATCCTTGCCGGAGATAAATTTGATAACATTTTTCAAAAGTGGCATTGCAAAATTATTAGTTTCCCCTAAACCTCACCGTCACCAGCAGCAGTAATAAATAATAAAATATTACATATACCTAAACTACTATCGAGTGATTTTCTAGCACTTTTATTTCAGCAAACTCAAGAAAATTGTGTCATTTCCGACGACTGGAAAGAAGCTCATGTATTTCCGGTCCATAACAGTGGCGACGCACGCTCGCCATTAAATTATCGGTCCATATCATTAACGGCTTTCTGCTGCAAGTTCAGGAAACATGTCATGCATTCACATATTATTAAATTTCACAAACAAAATCATTCCTTCTTTCGAACCAACATGACTTTCGAAAACATCGTTTTTTCTGAAACAAAACTTGCCTCGTTTATTTATGATATCCATCCTTTTCTTGAAACTCTTCCGCAAGTTCATCAGGGTTTCCTTGATTTTTTTTTTGTAACTTTTGATCGTATTTCCTTATAAACTGTTACTAACAAAGCGGTCCACTTTTTTTCTTAATAGACCGATCTCACAGCTAGTTTGAGCACGCCACCGCTGCCGACATGCATCGTGGGACCTGTAGTCTTTCTGCACGTGCGACAACCCTGCTGGAGGTCTGCGCGAGCAGAGCACGAGGCGGCATGAGCTATCTCGTGAACTGGCGTCTGCGTCCTATGAACTACAGTTACGCCGGCGTCACGCATGCGTGGAACGCTTGGTGAGATCGGTCTATCCTTATGTAATATCTTGGCTTCAAAAAGTCTCACCTCCAATAGCCAGCCCGAGCACATTAGCAGCTGTCACTCCAGAAGCACCTTTCTAGCTTCCGGCATAGCGCGGGAATCGGTTATTGGGCCTTTGCTTTTTCTTGTATATATTGATGGCTGTCATGTCTTATTGTCCTCTAAAGTTCGTTCATTCGCTGATGATTACGTAATTTACGGAGCGGTAGCTAACAGTAATGACGTACTTGATTTGCAAGATGATTTGGACAGATCTAATGACTGGTGCTCAAAATGACAAATGATTCTAAACTCAACGAAATCAAAATCACTCTCTTTTTATAGAACTCGGCAACATCTTCTCACTTCCCACACCATCGCTAAGCTTGACACTGAGTCTCTTTTGCATTACAAATATATTTGCATACACTTCAGCCATGATCTTCATTGAAAAACTCATTTTAACGCCATTATTTCAGATTTCTTCCATCGTAACAAAGTACTAAGGTAAGAAATGACAGGTTGCCCGGTTACTCAAATAGAGTCCCATGCATTAGCTGGTGTCAAGCGATGACTGGCTGTGGTGCCGCTCAAGCCCAGTAAGACAAGCCTCGGTCCGCGATCCGATTTACTACAGATAGATCAGTGTCTGGGACTTCAACACAACCTCCCCGGCACACCAAGTCATGGACACTACACCCAACTCAGCCACCCTCGAAACAATTCCTGGTTGCGCAACTAATTTGAGCGGACAGTATGTAATAACAGAACAATAGAAAGATAGGGCTAAAAAGAAACAGGAAAATGGTCGCCAATTTTGCATTCCCTAAGCCCCCCTCACGGCGTTTGTAAAAACGACGACTGCGTGATTTACTCGCAGCTCTGCTCGCATCCTTAACTAAAATACAGACAGAAAGGTATATATAATCCTCGAAGAGCGCACCCCGAAACCTTGAACACATGTGAAAGAAACGAGATCATGCATGGGGTCGGTTTCTGGGCACAAACACAAGATGACCGCGATTGGGGAATAACTATGAAAGGTCGCTCACAGATGGTGTACGGGACAGGCAGTTAAATTAATTGGGAAACAATATTTTCTGGCTATCACCGGCGTGCAAACTTGAACCTCTTACTTCCTTACTGAAATACATGAAACAAAGATATTCTTCGATATCTGTTGAGAAAAAAACTACCTTTCGCAACGCCTTGTTCAAAAATCTATTAGTTCCTCTGTTTTCTTCAGAACTGCTTATGAAGAGCAGGTTGAAAAACCAGGAAGTTTGAAGGAATTCAAGTTCCCGTAAAAATTATCTAGCCCCCAAACCAGAACATTTGCGACCGTGCTGCAAATTATTTTCTTTTTATTCTCCTTTTGATAAAACCATCGCGATGTAAATCCGTCCGGTGCTTGCTGAGCAGTCGCATCAAAACGTTGCGATTGGAAATGCATAGGGCCTAGTGAGCTGCGATATCCTCTTAAAGGGGCCAGGAAACAAACTGGGCTGGGATAAATTAATTTAGATTGAGAATTTACTAATAGTATATAGTTTAGTAGGCCAAAAGAAAGAAGGTCAAAAGTCAAAAACTTGATTTTCGGTAGGAACATTTTAAAACACAGCGGACCATTTCGTAAATCC